CCCCAAAACCCCAAAACCCCAAAACCCCGTAAAAACTATTAATAATTGATGAGATAATATAATTTTATATTATGAATTCAAAACATTCCAACTCAAAACAGGATGAGAAAGATACTGAAAATAGCAGAGAAAACTATATTCCAAATTTTTCTCCTATATTTAAGGCTTGGGGCTACCTATCTTCAGATAAGATTAACAATTCATATTTTCAGAACTATTCAAATGATGATTCTGATGGTTGGGTTTACTCGAATAATAACCAATCTTCTAAGCCCAAATACAGTTCTTCTCGCCTGATAGACAAATTACTAGACTTTCTTAATCTATCAGACTTTTACTCAAGCTTCACAACACAAACTACAGATCAAAAGCTATCAAAAATAATACAATCCAAACACAACAAACACCTTGATTTCACCTGGAATATCCTTTACATACTCCAACACTTATAATCGTCTTGATGATCTACCTGCAAATCTTCACTGAAGACCTATCAAAGCCAGGGTTTCTGGCTCAACTAATAAACTCAACTTTGTTCATGGTGCTGGTGAACATCATAAAGTTAGTTAAGAAGAGAAGGCCCAATATTGTTCACTACTTCTTGCCCTGCTTGTTGTTTTTGGAAGGGTCTGCTGTAGCTATTGAGAACTGACTTTTTGAAGAGTTTAGGTTTTATGAACTTTGGATTATTTGGTATATGACAGCACTTGCATTTTCAGCGACGTTTTTTTTGAGAGAGATTGGGGTCCTGTGGTGGGAACTAGAGGGTAGGGTTAGTTATGTATATGGAAAGAAGGTTTTAATAGAGTAGCTGATCTAATCTTGCGTTTAAAATAATTTTTTACAATTAAATTACAATTTTTGGCTTTCTTTCATTAATTATCTCTCTAAATTTACACTCCAATTTCTAAAAAATTCCCCAAAATTTCCTCATTTAAAGTACCCTCAAAATATTTTCTCATTAAATTTTATTACTTTGGACAACCTCCTCTCTGAAACCATCTTCCCTAGCATCCATCTTGGCTGTGTCTAATTTTATGCCTATTCTGAGATAACAAAACCTTTGGGTAATAAATCGATTAATTAAGAGCAACGTTCTGATTCAGACCAGCAATGGTGATAGTAGCATTCATTTTAGTACAGCTTGAATTTCTAGTGCTACTTTACTTTAGTTTTGGAGAAATTAATGACTTTGTCCTCATTGTCATCATCTATGGATGCATTTGATTTGTAGCTATCACTGTTGTTATTTCTTATTTATTTAAAAGCCAGATCGAACTTGTGTACCAAAACAAAGAGCTCTCTGAGACTATACGATATATATTGCAGGTTCTTCCTGAAGGTGTTCTAATAAACACCTTCAAAGAAGATAAGGCAAGAGTAGGATATGCAAATGATACTATTCAAAAACAACTTTTTGAAAATCAACCTCTTGAAAATACTTTTACTAATAGCCTCAAACTCAGGTGTAGAGAATCTTCTGATGATCAAATCAAAATAGAAGACTCCGAGTCCTACAAAAGGGCCATCAAAATAGGGGAGCTTCTAGATCAAATCCAACACCAAATCGACAAAACGCAGACTCCAGTCACTAAGCAAGTCCTGATCGAAGCTGCTGACAATGGACATGCCAATCTGCAATCAAACTTCGTATATACGCTAAAGTCTATTCCTGTGAATTGGGACAAATGAAACAAAGCCTACTTACACGTAGTCTCAGATATTACTTCGTTGAAGGAGCTGGAGAAGCAGAAGGCAACTAACCAGTGCATGCAAATAATGTTTTCTAGTGTTTCGCACGAATTCAGGACTCCACTAAACTCCTTTGCCAACATCTTGACTTTGCTCACAATGAAGCTTACTGCAATAAATGACTGAATCGCAGAGTTGACAATTCCCAGGAAGAACCATGAAGAGCTTGAAGAGTGATTCAGTAGCTGAGATAAATATTTAAAAATGGGCAATATTTCTGCAAAAATTCTTGAAAACCTAGTAGAAGATATACTAGATTTTGCTAAAATTGAATCTGGAGTTTTTAGCCTCGATCCTGAAGCATTTTTGGTACAGGATTTAATTGACGAAATTTCTTATATATTTCAAATTCAGTGAGAAAGTAGAGGTATTTTATTTGAAATTATTTGAGATGAAAGAACAAGAAATATCAATTTTATTAGTGACATGGCAAGGATCAGACAAATCCTGATGAATTTAGTATCAAACTCCCTCAAATTCACTGCTGAAGGATTCATCAAAATTTTGATTACTCCATTTAAAAGCCTTGATAACAACAGGAATTTCGGTCTCAAGTTCAGAGTTAGTGACACAGGAGTGGGGATCTCTGCTGAAGACCAGAAGAACCTATTCAAACTCTTTGGCACAGTAGACAAACACAAGCAAACCTTAAATTTAAAAGGAACAGGCCTCGGACTCACAATCACACAGAAACTGGTGAGCTTGCTTGGAGGCAACGTTAAGTTAGAGTCAGAAGAACATGTCGGCACTACAATTGAATTTTCAGTAAAAGAGGCTGCCAGAATTCGACAAGGTAGGGTTTTAGACCATTTTTAGATTTGGATAAAAAATTTATGCCAAAATATAGGTTTAGAAGAAAGCAAAGGAGACATTGAGAGATCAGGAAAATTAGTATCGAAGAGAAATCATTGGTTACCAAGCAAACTATCTTTAGGATCAATATATAACTCCCAAACCAGTGAAAAAGAGTTTGTTAATAACCTTGGATACGTCCAAGATGTTCCTTCTATGGAAATAAATAATTTTACATTTAACAGCAGGTCAATGATGTAAGAATAATGTCATATTTACTTAATTGGCAATATATTTCATATAATGAATTCAAGAATAAAACGATATATCGGGGTTTTGGGGTTTTGGGGTTTTGGGGTTTTGGGG